TCTCCCTCTCTCTCACTCTCCCTCCCCCTCCTCTCTCCTGCCTACTCTGCCAATTTTCCCCTCTTCTCCTCTCCCCAAGGCTCTGGCTTGTGCCTGGGATGGATAGTATCCTGTAACTCCCTCTCCACCTCCTCTATCTCTCTGTCCACTGGAAGCCATTGCTCACACGTGGAGTGAGGCTGGACAGTGTATGGGAGGCATCAGGGCTGAGCTCTAACACCGGTCCTCGCCAAGTGTCCACATCATGAGAGTTCACGCCTCCCAGGCCAGTGTAACATGAGTGATTCCCCTCCCACATACACTCACACACATACAACATCAGTGTCAGCGCTATAATTGGCCTTCGCACCCCTGGATGCGGGGGGGGGGGGGGAGCGTGGTTGGGGTGGGGCTTGGGGGGACAGTTGGTGAATGGGTTAATGTTGAATAGAAAGAATAACACCCCCCCACCCCCGGTTAATTAGCAACTATGTTAATGAAACCCCCATCCACTTCCCATTCCAGAACATCCAGTGTACACGGTGTTCACAAAGTCCTGTTACCCACCCTTGTGTTTTTTCTGGCACAGTTGTGCACAGCAGCGTCCCACAAACAGTCGTGGATATGAGTGACAAGTTATTGTAATTTCTTTTTCTTGTCTGATTCCAATAGCTTCCTCCTCACTCCATCCACGTTACAGACGATGTCACACCGAACATGGTGACGGATCATTATCTGCCATGAAAACGATGGCGATTGCACACACACGCACACACACTCACACACCGATCCTCTGGATGTCTACATACAGTTAAACACTTGCACTGAATACAATGAAGTAACTTCTAAATACAATTATCATCATCATTCTTCCACATGTTTCAGTTGTTGGTCAGTGCGCTGTAGAAGATAAACATGGTGGGGGGGTGGGGGGGTGGGGGTGGTAACAGGACTTTGTGAACACCCTGTATGTCTGCAGCGGAGCCCATTACAGGTGTCCAAGTCATCTGACATCAGTGTTTGAGTGCTCGCTCAATTGGAAAGGCATTGGCATGAAAGAGGGTACAGGATGGAGAATAATTCCCCACAGCCATCCGCTATTAACCCTAACACCCTGGCCATCAGCAGCTGTGTGTGTGTGTGCGTGTGTGTGTGTTGGGGTTGGAGGGGAACTGGAGGTGGCAATGTTAATTGCTGCTCTGGGAATCCAAGCATCACTCTCCCTGCCTTTCTTTAAAAAAATCCTCGTTCCTGCTCTGAGCGTTAGTTAGCACACGCTGGGACAGCGTTCACGGGTCACGGACTATTCGTTGTTAATTGGGTTTTTGAAAATCTCCCCCTCCTTCCCTCCCCCTCTCTCTCTGTCTCTCTCTCCCTCCCTCCTTTCACCCCTCTATCCTCCAATTCAGTCCGTCTGGCAGGTTTAACTGCCATACAGTGAAATCTCCTCCCCCCCCTCACATACACATACACACAAACACAACAGCCTTCTTGTTCTGTTCAGTGTCCTCATCAGAGAAACAGCCAATTGTCCTGACATTGGCTCCACGCTGAGCCGGACGATCTCTACTAAACTGCAGCTTTTTTTAAAAAAATCCTCCCAACCATAATTAGGCGGTTTAGAGAGAGACCAGTTAGTGAGGTTAACACCGCAAGGTGTGAGAACGCTTTCCGCACCGTCCTTAAAATGAAATGAAACCGGCTTCATCTCCTGGGGTCGCCATCCAAACACAGACTTAAGTGAAACACATCAGCGTCTCAGCAAAAGAGCTTAATGTCCTGACTCCCTCATTATTCCGAGGAACTCTCTCTCTCTGAGTCACTGAAAAGCTCCCCAAGGGTTCCACTCCTCGATGTGCATGTCTCGGAACTTACTACTATTAATAATAATCCTCGCATTTAATACAGCACTTTATCACTTCGTTGAGACGCTTCAAAGCATTTTGTGGAATATATTGTAAAGCAAATTGACTGTGTATTTCGTGGGCGAAACTTTCTGGTGTCCAGGTGGGGCTGAGATATAGCGTTCCTCCCCTGAAACATTTTTGGGGTCAGACAATCTTGGTGGAAGGGAAAGAAATGCAAATATATTTTTAATGTAGGCCTTGTTCTCACGGAATAAGGTTATAATGATAATAATAAATCTTGGATGGGGGGGGAGTTGGGGGCTGGTGAGGAAGGGGAGAGTGGGGTATGAAGGGGAAAGCGACACACGATTCACTGTCTTTTAAAACGCTTGCTTTTACACATGTTTTTGTTGCTCTGGGTTCCCTCCCGGCTCCACTACAAACACTGAAACTTCTTTTTGTCAGATAAGAGCACGGAGCAGGTCCTGCAGCTTCTCTGCGTTTTCCATTTGAATGGCACGGAGAGAAACGTCTCCCAGAGAGCGGGGATAAAGGCCGCACGGATCGGGGAGGGGGGTTAATACAAGGGGGTGAAAAGTCTCCAAAAAGGAGGGGCAACAGGCAAGGTTTTATTGGCTAACATTAGCACCACTAATCTATTGCAGGTGCTCGATGTCAGATTCCCAGGAAGGGCCTCTTTCTGTTTGATCCGCTGGGAGGGAGCTTTGGGCTGAACACATAATAAGCGCCCTGCAAACAAAGGCTTATGAGATGCAAAGGTCATTTCCCTGCAGTGGGTTTGATGACAAAGGGGAGGAGAGAGAGAGAGAGAGGTGGGGGGAATCCACTCAATCTGGCATAAATCACAGAGCAGTGATGTTTGCGGCGTTTCTCCCACCGCTGCCGCAGACCCAGATGGTTTACAATAACCCTTGCTCGTTTTTCCCCAATAGCACCTATCGCTTCGAAATGTCTCACAGCGCTTCACAGGGAATTTGCTGTCAACTATACAGTGACTGTGTATTTGTAGGCAAATGTGACAGGCATTTTTACACACCGCAAGACACAACTCATTTCACAGCCGTGAAGCCACCGATCAATTTAACCGGAGGAGTGTTGGCCAGGATACCAGGAGAAACTCCTTTTGGTTTTTCCCATAGTATCGCAGGTCTTTGAGGTCAACGGGTAGAGAGAAGAGGACTTCAGTTTCACACATCAGCCGAAAGACAGTACCTTGTGCAATGCAGGACTCCTGTAATTCTGCACTGGTGTGTCAGCGTAGACTGTGAGCTCAAAGTCCTGAAACCACAACTTTCTGACCGCGGCTTCGGTCACCCTCTTAACCGCTACCCTCCCTGCCCTCCTGAACCCAACCTCCTGATGATCCCGAGACTGTCCCAACATCTTGGGATGTCCTCCTGATGTGAAAGACGCTATACAAATATCATTTGCTGTTGTTGAGATTGAGTGCGGCAATGACTGAGTCAGGCTGCCACCTCTCAGCAACTTTTCTCAATCCAGCCAAGAAATTCTGCCAGTTTACACACAGAACGCTCACTCTTTGTGGGTGAGAACGTAGAGAAAGTCTACAGAGCACAGAGGGCAATGTATTGAGAGCATCCCAGTCCCAACTCTAACCTTACAGGGCTAAGGAATTAGATAAAGAGCATCACTGTAGTGCACTGCAACCTCATCGACGAGCAAATTGACAACTGACTGCATGGAATCCACCTCAAGCCTATTTTTAAAATGTAATATTTTTACTAAAAATGCAGATGTGTTAGGAACATTCCTCCGAGGAATTGGTGCAAGGAGAAATCGCTGTTTGGCCCTATTATTGAAAGAGGAAGGGGGCGGGCTATTATTACCTACTTGTGTGCGTTTTGAGGTTGAGATGAGTTGGTTCTTAGGGACTGGGTTTCTTGGTGGGGCCATCAGGTGGTGCTGTTGTATTAGTTGCCGGGCATTGGGTTTACAGCGCCTCCGGATGGCAGAGATTTGCCGCCAAGCCTATACTTTCTACCGTCCTTCGGGTGAGACGTCAAACCGAGGTCCCCATCTGCCTGTCCAGGTTGATGTTAAAGATCTCACAACGATATTCAAAAAGACAAGGGAGTTTCTCTCTCTCCTGGTGTCCTGGCCAACAATCCTCCAGATGAAACTGGTCATTCGTTTCATGGCTGTTTGTGGGACATTGCTGTGCGCGATTATGCTGCCACGTTTGCCTACAAATACAGTCACATTGCAGTAAGTCCTGCGAAGCTCTTTGAGACGTCCTTCTGATGTGATAAGGCGCTGTACCAAATGCAAGCGTTATTTTTATTATGATGTGCTGACCACCTCACCATCCACCCTGCAAGTCTAAACCCATCCAAGTCTGAATCAAAGAAATCCATCATTTTACCAACCAGTTTGTTGATATCCTGGAAAGAAACCTAGCCAAGTACCCCCATCCCAGATTTCACTTCAAGGACATGAAGGACATTGCTGTGTGCAAATTGACTGCTGCGTTTGCCCACAAAACACACATCACTACAGTCTACACTAGTAGCTGTGAAGCTCTGTGAGATGTCCTCCCGATGTGAAGGCTTGATGCCAAATGTAAGGATTATTATACATTAAGGAAAAAATGAAATTTAAAAAGTTCCTAGAAGTGAGACCAAATGAAACTAATTATTTCTCAATTGATTCTGCCGAATGATAACAACAACAAAATTACAGCTGTAGAACAGCTTTCACATCAGAAGGACGTCCCAAGGTGCTGGACAATCAGTTTCAAAGCTGAACTGGGGGTCAGGATCGGGGAGAGTGGAGGGCGGGGGAAGGAGGGTGACCAAAGGCACGTTTGAAGAGAAGGGTCTTGAAACAGGTCTTGAAGGAGGCAAGCGAGGGTGCCATGCAGAGGGACTGTGGGATGGAGTTCCAGAGGGTGGGGGCAGAGAGGCTGAAGGATCGACCACCAATGGTGGGGCGGGCGAGGCGGGGGACGTGAAGCAGGCTGGAGCCTGCTGAGCAGAGGGAGCAGGTAGGTTAGTAGGGGGTTAGGAGGTCACGGAGGTAGGGAGGAGCAAGGCTATGAAGTGAATTCATTTTAATGCATTTTACAGGTGGTGTGAGTGTGTGTAATGAAAACAGTTCAACAATAAGAGATCAAGTCACCTTCACAATTACGCCAGAATTGAAATAAATGATTTTATTTAATTGTTCGGCTCCAATAAACCATGAATCATCAAGAGATTTATGCAAAGGGGAAGTGGATTAGTCCCTGAGCAGTCAAAGAATTAAGGGATTAAGAGATGAAAGAGCTGGAAAGTAGGATTAATAAAAATGGACGACTTAGAAAAAAAACAGACAAGAAATGGAACAATGGTCTCCTTCTGTGCGGAAAAAAAGGAATTGTTTAACTGGAGCAGATCACAGTGCCTCCCTGTGGACGCAATGGCTCATTACACCCGAGTACTCAAAAGATGCTTCCAGGGAGTAGACTTGGAATGAATGCCCAAGTTGACCCAAGTGCCCAAGTCTGCAGTGTCATTTATCAGTGAGTTTACAAAAACTTCCTGCCCTTCTAGGACATACACAAAGCCCCAATTCCATCCCAGGATCCAGGAGCCATTGTACACTGGGTTGCTGAGCAGACGAAGAGTGACGGGTGAGGATGAGGATGGGACGAGGTTGTGAAAAACAATGTAGTTTGAGGCCGAGTCTTCTTCTGAAAAGGGAATGAGCTTGATTTCTGATGAAGGGGAATGCTAAGGGTCCGGGGAAAGGGAGCAGGAGGGCGGGGTTATATCAGGCCACTCAGCACAAGTTTTGTGGGACAAATGAGCTCTTTCTGTGCGGTAACTTTCTGATATCCTACAAACTGCAAAGAGCAGGTTCCCTATTAGTGGCTTGGGGGAGGAGAAGGAGAAAAGAAGTAAACAGAAGAGAAAGGTTCCCTTTATCGCCACACGCACACGACACACACATAGGGACGGTGAATGGCAATAACCTTCACTTATCATCTTCCTCTTTACATGTCAACCGCTGTAGTTGTAGGCATTGCGAATCATTTGATCAGACGCCTCCGGGAACCAGTCATGGAGCTTGGAGACTAAATCAACCCACCAGGGGAAGTAAATCTCACGCGCTCTGGTCATCCCACCTTTGATGATGGCCAGGGCAGAGTCGGAGGCTGGATATGGCTGCATGGACAATATCCCCCTGGAGCAAAAAGACAAAGCAATGATCAGGTACAGAGCAAAGCTCTATGACTGTCAGCACCACTCCGACAACAACAACTTGCATTTATACAGCGCCTTTCACGTCCCGTGGAAGTCTTTGTTCAGTCATGTGGATTCAGCCTTTACAACCAGTTTCTTCACTTCACTGTTGATCCACCATAGTTCCTGTGCAACAGGCAGGAAGATGGCTGGTCAGTGCCTGAAGCTGGATGGTCGAGCTTCGGATCAGTGGGATTCACTGTAGATCCTATGAGAACCCACACTGAACTGGGCATGTAATATATAATGTGTATTTAGATATAATATACGTGTGTGTGCATATATGTAACATGTCTGAAAATTTATATTACAATAATAAGAATTCTTGGGTTTGATATAGCGCCTAATCATATAGCATGTGTATGTACACGTGTGTATATGTGCATGAGCACGTGTCTGCAAACAGCGCAAGAGACGGACTGGATTTTCTCGAGGGTTGACTGGGTGTCGATCAGCCCGAGGAAGCAGAGCGTGACGGACACATGTTTCCGCTGCATGGCCAGCTCGTGTCGCAGGGAGGTGAAGAAGCCGCCCAAAGCGAACTTGGTGGCTGAATATGAGGCGGTAAATGGCGTAGCGATCTTCCCTGTCGGGGGGAGGGAAGGAGACAGAAATGGCAAATCAGTTACATGTCAGCGTCTCGGAGCGCTTAACGGTGGCGGAGCATGATGCCTAACTGGTGGTGGGGATGGGGGGGAGGGGTGGGTGTGGGCATGGGACGGAGGTGGTAATCTTAAGCACGGTCGAAGAGGACGGTCTTCAGTCTTCTGTTAGTTTAAAAGGATAATTTTTAAATAAAGAAATATGGGCGGGAGGAAAGGATGGGGGTGAGGGGGGATGGCAGAGATGGGCAAAGGTGGGAGAAAGCGATGGGAGGTCTGCACAGAGACAGGAACGTGACCTCACTCACCGCAGAGAGAGGAGACGACAACGATGGAGCCATTGCTTTTGGTTAAGAGGGGCAGAGCAGCGCCCGCCAGCTCCACAAAGCTCAGGAAGTTCACCTGGAACAGGAAAAGGAAGGAAATGCTGTTAACGGCCAGGGTGGAGTAGAAATTCCATTTGGGATCAGCCTTCATGGGAAGAGAACGGATGCAATGGGCTGAATGGCCTCATTACTGATGTTTGTACAAGAGCAGGTGAGACCTCACATGACAGCCTCATGAGATTTGTATTCCAAAGAGAGTCTGAATGGAGTCAAACATGTTCAAAGTCAGATGTCTCCTTTAAACAGTGCTACACAATGACAAGTGCAACACAGGACCTGTACAAGTGCTTCGATGCAGCCATAAACTCAACAGTTTATCTACTCAGTTTGGTTTGGATACTCTTAAGCACGGTGATGGGTTTCCGCATGTGCCAAGACACCCGGCTGACAAGCCCCCCACCCCACCCGCCCAGTGACGGACTGACCTGCATCAGCCAGCGTGTGTGCTCAGAGTCCCTGTCCCACATCTGGAAAGGGGTGGCCCCTATGTGATTCAGAACCAGATAGTCCAGACCGCCTGCAAACAACAGAAATCGCATGAATCAGAAGCTGGGGAAAGGGAATATAAACCCAACTGAAAGCCAAGTATTGTTCATCCCCATCCAACTCTCCGACCACTATCAGATCCCCTCCTTGGGGGGCCACATGGTTTCAGCACCCATCGGTGCAGGAGAAACAAACTTGTCCGGGTCTCATGCACTCACCCAGCTTCTCCAGAGCAAACTGCACAACTCTCTTGGGATTCCTCGGATCTGCCATGTCAGCGGCAATGGAGCGGACGTTCTTTGCCCCCAGCTCCAAACACTTATCCGCGACCTTCCCCGATATGAATGGAAATAAATGTGAGACAGGGACAGAGAGAAAGACACAGATACACACTCACAAAGAGCGAGAGAGAGAGAGTGAGGGAGAGAGAGATGCACACGCAGCCCTGATATGCTGAATATGTTCATTTCCACAACAACAGTAAGTCCGCTGGGACGTCCTTTCAGGGCTTTTGGACGTCCTCCCGACGTGAAAAGTGCTCTATAAATGTAATTTTGTTGTGGTTGTTGTTGTCCCAGTCAGTGTGGGATATTCGTCTCCCGACTGCAAATTCAAATTGTTGAATGAAACATTTATCCAGTAAAATTGCGCACTCTTGAGGCAGGCTCAAACCTTCTGTAAAGCATCTCCTCTTTGTGCTGTTATCACCAGATCGGCCCCAAATCCACTATATTGATACGCCAGCTGCTCCCCTATTCCTTTACTGGCACCTGTCAGAAGGACCCGGGTGCCCGAGAGGGACCCTAGAGAGGAGGAAAATCGCTGATCACACTGAACCAGTACAGGAAAACAAGTGTCTTGTTTTAGAGACAACAACAATTTACATTTATAAAGTGCCAGTCATTGTCAAGGAGGGCCTGTCAAAGGGCTCTGAATCTCAGGAGCAAAAAAAAAGTCATGGTTTGTCTACAAGATTGATGCAAACTCTTTAATGGATGGTGTGGGAGGTGGAAGGAGATCAAAGCAAGGTCAGAAAGGCTTTGAACACACGGAGAGCATGTGGAAGGTGGAGGAGATGATGATTATTTTATTATTATTATAATTATTTTGATATTTTATTATTATCATTTTAATATTTTATTACTATTATTTTATTTATTATTATCTTGTGGCGCCATTCGAAAAGAGACGGGAGTTTCTCCCTCTCTCTCTCTCTCTCTCCAAGTCAGCAAATCCCTCAAGTAAAAATCAGTGGCTGTTTGTGGGACGTTGCACTTTCAATCGCCCTCTTTTTTTTTCTAAACCCAAGCGGGAGAGAGAGAGAGAGCAAACTCCAGATCCAAACCCACGATTGGACTTTGTCAAAAGGTTGGAAAAGCCTCGATTTTTCTCCCCCCCCACCACCCCTTCAAAAAAGGAAAATACACAGAATATAATAATAATAATAATCCCTCCAAACAAAAAACAAAACAATAATAAATCGGTCATTTTCAATCCACGACTGTCTGTGGGGCATCGCTGTGCGCCATCGGCCGCCGCCTTCGCCCACAAATATACAGTCAATTCCCTTTACAGTGTGTTCCGTGAAGCGCTTTGGGACGTCCTCCCGACGGGAAAAGCGCTGTATCAAATGCGAGGATTAATTATTATTATTATTATTATTAATGAATGCTGAAACTTTTTGCCCCAGTTTTTAACCTACCGTCAGCATTGCACCACAAACAGGCTATTAACCCACAAACACATAAAATATTATTATTATTATTATTATTATAGTGAAACGAAAACTAAAAACATCACCAGTCTCACCGGGATCGAAAGCGTCTCGACCCATCAGGGCAAAGAACGACGCCCCGAAGGCAGCAGCCGCCGCGCAAACCTGCCACCGGCCCATGGCGAGCCGAGCCACGGTGAAGAAGCGTGGTTCTTTTTAATAATAATAATAATAATAATAATAATAATAATCCTTGCATTTGATATAGCAAAATCCGACGACAATTAACAATCCCCGGCAGGCAGCGCGCACCGCCAGGATCAAAGATGGCGCGCACCGCCAGGATCAAAGATGGCGGCGCCCTGCGACCCAGCTGCCGATTGCCGGTCCAGGGTAACGTTCCTGGTTGAGGGTCGCGGGCACGGGAAAACCGCGCCGCGGCTGCTCCGCGGGTGGTGGTTGGGTGGGGTGGAGTGGAGTGGGGGGGGGGGTGTCGTTTAAAATGGAAATAAATGAGGAAGAGGAGGAGAAGGAGGAAGCGGCTGCTGGTGACGGTGGCCGGTAGTCGCGGTTTGATGACGCGACGGCGCAGCAGGTCGGCGCCCCGGGAGATGACGTCAGTGACCTTGTGGCGGTGACACGGGGCCCGGGAGCGATGGCGACGTTGGCAGCGCTGAGGTATTGGAGGGGGCGACGTCTGAGGGCTTTATGGCGGGCGGGTGGAGGGGGATAGAGGCGGGTTCAAGGCCCCTGAGGTTGTTGTTGTTGTTGTTGTTGTGCGAGTCTCGGCTCAGTCGGTGGCCTCTCTCTGTCCAGCCCGAGGATCAGCGGGAGGTGGGTTCAAACCCCACCTCAGCTCAGGGCCCAGTGCAGTGTCCACCACCATCACCATCATCATCATCATCATCATCACCATCATCATCATCATCATCATCATCACCATCACCACCATCACCATCACCACCATCACCATCATCACCATCACCACCATCACCACCACCATCATCATCACCACCATCACCATCATCATCACCACCATCATCACCATCACCATCATCATCACCACCACCATCACCACCATCACCACCATCACCATCACCACCACCATCATCATCACCACCACCATCACCACCACCATCCCCATCACCATCATCATCACCACCATCATCATCATCACCACCACCATCACCACCACCATCACCACCACCATCACCATCACCATCACCACCAACATCACCACCATCACCATCATCATCATCACCACCACCATCACCACCACCATCATCATCATCATCATCACCACCAACATCATCACCATCATCACCATCATCCCCATCATCATCATTATCCCCATCATCATCAACAACAACTTGCATTTATATATATATGTGTATTATATATATATATATATATATATATGGGGGCGAACCTCCCCCCCCCCCCCCCCAAAACAAAAAGCAGCTCCCGAATACCGCCGTCGCGAGGTCGTCGGTTTAGAACCGACGGTCGGTGTTCGTCATCCCCCGCCCGGAGCGCTCGACGGTGGCGGAGCACGAGGCCGAGCCCGCGGGGAGGCGACCCGGAACACGCGGCACCGTCCCCTCTCTCCTCTCCCCTCCCCCACCGCCGTCGCCCCCGAGGTTGGGGTGGACGCTTAATGATCCCGTCCCACGACCCTATTTGAAAAGAGATTTTTGTTTCTCTCTCTCACACTCTCTTGGGGTCTCCCTGGCCAACAAATAGCCCCCCTCCCAAATAAAAATTGGTGGCTCACTCCCAGGCTGTTTTGTGGGGACGCATACTGTGCACAAAATTTGGCTGCCGTGTTTCGCCCACAAAGTCCAGAGTAACTCCGCTTTAAAGTATATCCTGAGAAGCGCTTTGAGACTTCTTGATGACATGGTAAGGCGCTGTATCGAATGCAAGGATTATTATTGTCGTCGTCGTCGTTATTATCGAGTATCATCCCGGATATGTTCGTAGGTCTCATCTGTGGAGTCAGAAGGATGTGTGGGTTCAAGCTCCACTGGGCTGAGCTCACAGCCCAGGCTGACTCTCCAGTGCAGTGTTGGGGTACGCTGCATTGTTGGAGGTGTTGAAAATAACAAGGTTTCTGTCTGCCTGATCAGCTAGATGTTATAGCTCCTGCGATGCTATTTGAAAAGAGAAGGAGTTTCCACCAGTATTCTAGTCAACAATCCCTCCAAAATAACATCAGTCATTCGCTTAATGGCTGTTTGTGGGGACATTACTATGTGCAAATTGCCTGTCGCATTTGCCTACAAAAATCTAACATTACAATAAATCTGGTGAAGAGGGTTACTTCAACAAGCGGGCATCAGTCATTCACCCCTTGGTGCTTAGTGGGACCTTGCAGTGAGTAGAATGGCTGTTGCACTGGTCCATTGAAACGGTCACTACATACCCTACATATCTGTGAAGTGCTTTGAGGAGTTTTGACACATTGAAGGTGTTAAAATATATGAGTTCCTCGTTCCTTTCTTGTCTTGATTTATTCCCTTTCTGTGGCAGGTTGGCGACAAAGTTGGTGCTGGGTGGGGGCAGTGTTTTCCTGGCACATGACCAGGGGCTGCTGGGTGACACGGAGCAGGGCGCTGCAGTGCTGCACAGAGTGCTTGGGGCATTGCCACCCGCCGTGGAGGAATGGGCCAAGTATCTGCGGTTGCAGGTAGGGAGGAGTCACTAACACATGCTCCAAGGTGGGACTCTTGACCTCGCAGGCCAGGCTAACACTCCAGGGCAGTACCCGAGGTGGGTGGGGTGGGAGAGAGATGGGCAGGTGTTGCAAGGCTTTCTATAAAGGAACAGAACTGGTGATAGCCATAACTTGTGCCTGGGCGGATCAAGAAATGGGCATCTTTACCAAAGAAAAGGCAATTTAGGTTATTGTTTGATGGGGTGGGGGGGAAACGGAGGGTTTATAAAACCAAAAACAATAATAAATTGGTCATTTTCAATCTACGACTGTTTGTGGGACATTGCTGTGCGCAATTGGCTGCCGCATTCGCCCACAAATATACAGTCAATTCACTTTACAGTGTGTTCTGTGAAGCGCTTTGGGCCATCCTCCCGACGTGAAAAGCGCTATATCAAATGCAAGGATTATTATTATTAAGTCCGGAATTCTGAGACAAAAAAAGTATTTTGCTGTCAGACTGCTGCAGATATTTGGGAGAGGCTGTATTAACACAAAGCACCAATAGACAACATTTATCTGATGTGAGCTTATTCTCTCTTCACAGCTGCCAGCGGTTCCCAATGTAAACTTCTCTCTCTGCGAAGCCTGGAATTCAGGTAAACAATTCCAAAATGTCAGTTGTTTGGAGCCTGCGGAGGTTAACAATTCATTTGACATGCAAAGCTCACTCGTTTTTAAAAGCTGCAATAATGTGTGGTAGGCATTGTGACTTTGTCTGTGTCACCACTACAAATCATTGGGAGCTGGGTGATGTAGTTCGGTGTTTAGAAAGCAACATTTCACCAGCAGACTTGGTTTCCTTATCCTGCCTGTTTCATATCCCGCATGGAGGATGGTGTAATCTTGTAACCAGTTTTAAACAACAACAACTTGCATTAATACAAGTTGCGCCCTTCACATGGGGTAGCATCTCGAAGCCCTTCTCAGTGGCGGAGCATAACATCGAGTCAGGGAGAGAGGGGAGGGCAAGGAAGAAGCTGTGATCTTCAGCTGTGATCTGAAGATAGACAAGGAGGGGGGCAATGTTGGGACATAACTGGCAGTTAAAATGATTAAAGATCTCTTTAAATATTCTTTGGGCTTTCTTTCCAGGAGTTCAGAAAAGCTCCTCTGCCTTGTCAATGGCACCTGCCAAGAGCTACGAGTATGTGTGCAAAGGGTGGCTGTATATAAAGAACCTAGCAAAAGGAGAACACTGAAAGGCACTACCACCTCGCGGTTCAAGAGCCCAGACTGTCGGAATGTATATACAATAAGTCGCTTCAGCGGGAAGCAAAAATCTTGACTAATCTTAAGTCGCTGTTTTTTGCCTTTTGTCTGATTTTGAGCAACTGGGAAAGGAATTAAAATCGTTCAATACTCAGGTAATCACGGTGAAGTCAGTTCTTTCCTCCCGACGTTGAAAGGCGTCGCAAATTGCAATGTCGTTGTGTTCAGTGAATGAGAGCCACAGTCACAGCCCCATAGTTAGCTACTGAGTTGTGGATTGAGTGACATTATTATTATTATTTCTTTTTGAAGGGACTGATACCTTGAAAAGCGATCCACTAATTGACTAACAATCGGGTTTTTACTTACTGCTTGGTGAACAGAGGCATGTGGAGCAAGGTAATATGCCAAACATTTCACCCTGCTCGGCAAGCAAACCCAAGTCCTTTCGCTTACGAGGCGAATACTCTAACCAATAAAGCTACGGGACTCCACAAATGTCTTACGTTTTAGGGAGAGGAGGGGAAAAAAGTCAGCCAGGGTTTCCGTTCCTCGTTGCTATCGTCTGCTGGAAGGGTGTACGTGAGAAAGCTGGTTGGTGTACAAAATAAACTTACAAGTTGCATGACACAGGGTGGATAATATGGACTTTTATTTTGCGTTTCTCCATGGAAATGACTGCAGTACATCAAAAAATGCCAACCAGACATATTGTTGTATTAAATACTGCCACACAGAAGCAGCAAAAATTGGTGCCGGTTTCATTAATGCAATTACTCTGCAAGCTGTTTGCTCCATATCGCTTCGAACACTGAATACTTAAATGTGAAACACAGTAATTATTTACAGAGCGCCTTTCCTGCGTGGCATCTTCTGTGAAGCAGGTCAGAGACTTGCACTCCCTCCGCCCGAGCTGTTCCACACCTGTGTTATCGTAGATTTACAGATATTTATTTCAACTGACGTGATTTGTACCCTTGGGAGGCTGACGAAACGTGCATCAGTGATGGACCTCAGGGCAGAAATTTGTTTCAAACACTTAAAATCATATCAGGTCACATTTTAACACTAAATCCTGCACGTACACGGACTAGGCTGTGAATATATGTACAGTGGTTAATGTCAATGTCTTGCTAAAATTGGTAAACGGTTTGCAAAGATGCTGCAGTGTCAAAACAAAGCGAACAGCCGGGTGAAGACATGGGGCTTTGTGAGTTGCAGATAAGACATCACTGGATTTGATCGGTCCTTTGCGCAGTGAAGGACTGCGAGCCTTTCCAACGCCAAACACCCACAACGCAAATAATAAACCATTAACGTTTACAAAAAGGATGCCCTATTTGACAAACATCCGCGAGCCGCATAAGCAATAATTTTGTGTTTCCCTTCCAGAAACATGACAACATTTGCAGTTTATGGAGGGAGCAGGGGGACCAGATGAAATGGGGGTGGGTGGGTGCCATCTGCAGCCCGTGGGCTGCCAGTTGGATCACCCTGCTTTACAAGAGCCAACCTTTGCCATCTGCCTCCTGCACAGAGCAACCGTTCAGCATCAAGCATCGTGCTGAGGTCGCTTCCTCTTCCCCTTTCTTACGATCAGTCTCTTTAAGCCGCTGTTACCCAACTAGAGAATCATTCCCTTCGCAGTGCAGAGAAGCAGAGGAGAGCGTTCCTGGACTTAAAACCACAGGAGAAAAAAAAATGCAGTGAAGCTACGTTACATTGATTATGTTTTGGGGCAAGGAAGAACTTGCGTTTTTTTTTGTAGCGCCTCATCGCGTCAAAATATCTCAAAGTGCTTTGCAGTAATTGTTAAGTGTAGTGACTATTTTTGGAGGCAAAGGCCCCAACACATGTTCTGAATGGCAATCTGGTAAGTTTTTAAATCTTCCATTGAAATTATTCACATCAGAGGAATGCATATCTGGGCTGACACAGACGGGTGTGCACATGCCTCTTTCTTGTACTTTGCACTTCCTTTCCTGACCTGCTATCCCTGCCATCATGCATCTAGAATAGGCACCTGAGTTCCATCCCCTCCACCCCCTACCCCTATGCTCACCCTCTGTACATGCACCAGAAACAATACCCCCCCCCTCCCACCCTCCCTTACAGATACTCACTCAAGAACATGTATTAAAGAATAAACAGGAACGGACTAGTGTAGAAGCTGCTAAACTTCAGTTAAAAAGCAAAAATGTAAAGTTTTTAAGTTTTTTTTTGAAAGTTTATGGTTAGATAACAGAAAGAACAACAAAGGCACCGAAATATCACAGCCTCCCTCCTCTGGGCCAGTGTAGGAAGGATTCGTGTAAAAAAAACCAAACCCATCGGGATACCCACCACACACACACACACACATTGTTAATATACAGAACAAAACCACAGTAAAGTACAAATGAGAGTATTGCAGGTTCGGTTACTACACTCACTATACATTGCAAAGCATCTTGGCTTCTAAATCACCGGAACATATCGATGGCCACAACAGAGGTGCCACCGGGGCAGATTTGCAGCTGGTTACGGTTTAATTAAGCATTGATTGCTCCTGAACTAAAATAGCACGAAATTAACAGTTAAGCATGGAGATGATGGACAGGGAGGATATAATGTTCCGTATCACCGACTGACATATACTGACACATACACACACAGTGCCTCCTCCACTCCCTTTACCCCACACAGGCACAGCATCTTTTCCAAACCTTTCTCATTTACCTTCTTTAACACCCTCACCCCTCCCCCAGCCCCTCACCCCCTCCCCCGAGTTCCAGTATCCAGAATTACTCTAGGTAAGAATGACGATTTCTTAAATCTTAAAACTTCACATTTTTTCAAAGCATCTTCAAAGCGGTGCCTCTTCAGTACACGGCTGATGTAATGGACAGTTTGCCTCGGGGTGTGGGGGGGGGTGGGGTGGTGATTACTGGAGCATTGTTTTGTTTCGCACCCATTCAACTCCAGATCAGAAATTCTCTCCCAAACTATGTGAGCACCAGACTGGGGCTTAGAAGAATTCCCTGGAGGAATTGAGAATTTCCCAGCTTTGTAGCCCGTTTAGCAGCCGAATCCCAATTGACTCATATCAACAACCCAGGCTGTATAACGCTTTGGGTACAAGAATGGTATAAGCCATGGCACATGAGCTAGCTGGTTGTGTGTGCTTATGTAGAAGTTGTCCTGGTTAATGGGTTTGAGTGTATTGGGTCTGTGTTGGGGAATTCTGTGTGTGGGGGATGTGTGTGTGTGTGGGAAGGGGTGGTGTTGATATTTGTGTGCGATGGTATATTTGTGCGCGTGTGTTCGAGAGAGAGGGGTGGTTGGTAATTGGTAATTGGTAATTGTGTGTGGTGGGATATTTGTGTGTGTGTGTTGGAGAGTGTATTTGAGAGGGTACTGGTGTGTGTGTGTGTGTGTGTGAGAGGGTGTGTGTGTGTGAGGGTCCAGGTTGGGGAGGAGGTGTTTTGTGTAGGGTCAGACCACAGTTGCAATTACTTTTCCACAAACATGCAACCTTTATCTGATAGGAGCAGCTTGTATCCAGATTGTCACCAGCGCTGGGAGTGCATCTTGGTTCATGAGTCACACCAGTCTCGAGCTGTGATGGTAGCCAGAAGCCAGAAACTGTCCATCGGTTCTTGACGAGACCCTGTGATCACCTGTCCCTCTCAGTACTGCACTTACACCGGAACCCACCCGAAAATAAACTTGGAAGAGTCACGCTCACATTCCAACACACGCTGGGCTTTGCAAATGGACCAAGGTGGATGAAGCCAGTGTGGTACAGTACATAACTGCAAAACCATTTGCCTTTACTTGTACAATAAAATGAAAAGACACAAATTAAAGACAAATTCAATGTCTGATGAATTTTGCAAAAAAGTTGCACGACAAAGAGACACTGTTCTTTCTGTTAGTCCACTTGCTGCCCTTAACACAGCTCAGGTCCCTGTACTTACACAGCCCAATACTACACAGGTCCTGTGCTAACACAGCTCAGTGCTACCTAACACAGCGCAGGTACATGCGCTAACCACAGGCCGGGAGGCGCTGTGCTAACATAGCACAGTGTCCTGTGACAACACAGAAACCCTCTCCACCACACGATCTTTGGCACCAGAGAAAAAGTGCATTGTTAGCAAGCCATGGTTTACCTGGTTCCTGTATTGCTGAGGGAGCAAGAGATCGGATCAGAGACTGTAGGGAGTGAGGGGCTACGTTTCTCACTGAATACAGTACAATACAGGTCTCCCCTCCCCATAAAAAATTCTCAGTCAAATCAGAGCAAGCACTAATTTCTGAACCCCATCTCCTAACACACTATGTTTTGCCTTTTCGGGTGAAAACGAGTAACAATAATCATAAACCCTTAATTAGATTTGAGCCTAAACACGATTTTCATTTTTCTACTCTTTAAGGTTCAAATTTATGTTCAATTTAGATTTTACTCCATTATTTTCTCCCTGCCCTCCTCCCCCACCTCCGCCCCCCCCCCCCCCCGCCCAATGCTCACCATCCACAACTTCATGTAACAGCCTAAATACAGTAAGTTATCAGGTTGCTCACATGCTAGGGGAAGGTGTTTGACGTCACACCTGCCTCGGCTAGCTTACCCCACTGTCCATGGTGAGGTAGCTTAGCTTCCACAGCACTCCAGCAAGGCTCAGTTGCACAGACCTGGATCGGGCGTTGTTGTGAGAAGAAAATACCTTTCGCTGTCCGACACAACCAGGCCAGGAACCGAGCTGGCCATGAAAACAGAAGCCAACGCCATCGATAACGGTAAAATTGTGTGACCAACTTTTCCCCCACCGCCTTTCCCCGAGGCATTTGACTCCTTTTTTCTTTTTACCAGATTTGGTTCCACAGGTGCCCTCTGTGCGAGCCTCAACAGTGAGCGAGTGCAAAGGGGTTTGCACGCCATGAGTGTGTGTGTGTGTGTGCGCGTGTGTCACAAACCGAGTCCTGATCTTGTCCTCACCCCAACCTTCAACCCTCCCGTCCAGCAACGATCACAAATTAACCATCAGGAGGAGCAGGGACCCTGGCTGATTTATCCCTCCCTAACCCAGGGGCACCCAGGCCAATTGTAGCACCCCATCTACTGCCCTGCCTGAGATCAGCTAACTCAGGATTCCAACCTGTGCCTAACACCCTGTATTTGGCTCAGCTGCTAACAGGTTAAACTGGCTGAACCTCGGGTGAAGGCAGACGGGCGTTTGCTTTTCAAGTCTGGAAGATACACGTAGGTCTAACAGAAAGGACATAGTCTCTTTTACGGATCTGTTCACTCTTCACAGTAAAGACCTCTCCAGTGAAGGCAATGAGTAGGGTTACATGCAGCTAGGAGGTTTTGACTAAGTCATACACATAAATGTGAAAATCATCGTCAAACTTGATGAAGTAGACGGACGGTTTGGCCTGCACCTGATGAATCACCAACCCAGTTCTCGTGGTCCCGTCCTCTGTCACGTATTCCACCTGTTTCCCCACGAGACTTTCGATCACTTCCCCAGGCTCGGTTGGCAACACTTGCTTATTCTCTGCCAATGGAAAGAAATGCATAGTTACAGTCTCATTCAGTAGCTGCGTAGAATCACTGAAATTACAGCCCATCAAGCCTATATTGCCTATAACCTAACTGCAGGGTGGCCAAAAAGTCGTTTTATCTACCCTATTATCTAAAACAAATATATTTGATCATTTCGTAAGACTTATCAGACACTGTAATAGTATCACGACTTTTCGGTCACCCTGTGTAACCTTAGGCAAGTTTCCTCACTCCACACACTCCTCCACAATGGGTGTCAAGTGTCAGCCCGGCTCAGTTATTTGCACTCGCCTCTGAGTCAGAAGAGTTCAAGGCCCACATCGGGACTCTGAACTCACAGGCTAGGCTGACTCTCCAATGCGGTGCTGGGGCTGAGCTGCATTGTCGGAGGTGCCATCCTTCTGATGAAACATTACACTGAGGTCCCGTCTGCCTGTTCAGTTGAATGTTAAAGATCCCACAGCGCTAATCAGAAGGGGATGGAGTTTCTTTCTCCCAGCAATCCTCCCCCGGTTAAAATTGGCCATTCAGTTAATGGCTGATTGTGGGACATTGCTGTGAGCAAAACTGGCTGCCTTCATAAAAACGCAGTCACTACACTTCACTGTAAAGCCTGTGAAGTGCTTTGAGACGTCCTCAAAGGCGCTCCATCGAACGCAAATATGATTATTATTAATATTATTATGGTTAGTGCCACAATATAAGTACACACACTAACGACGCTAATAACCTTTGCAGAGCAGGCACTCTGCATTACATGCACGTTGAGTGGAGAGTAATGCAGTCTCTACGCCCCGAAGCTCTGGAACACTCCCCTTCAATCCCTACATCTTGCCTCCTCCCTCCTCACGTTCAAATCCCGCCTAAAGACCTTCCTTTTTGACCGTGCTTACGGTCACCTCCCCCCTGTCTCGGGGTCAGACTCTGCCACTGTTAAGCGCTCTGGGACACTACCCGGCGTGAAGGGTGCTTTATAAATGCAAGTTGTTCTGAGGAAGCAGCCCTTGTACAAGTACCTGAATCAGGCAAGATGCGGAGGTCCCCTTCTCTGTAGTCCTCCAGCAGCTGGTACATATATAGAACAGGGTCCTTTTCGTAGGTGATATAATACCACGTAGTCATGACAGGTGCTCGGGCCAATACCATCCCCCGCCACTCGTTCTTAGTCCCGTCGCCCTTCTCAAACACGTGCTCCACTGCTTTCCCCACGATCAGCTCTGCCAGGTCCCCGTCCAGGATTTTGGACCGACCTGCGGGAGATCAGAGAGCACAAGTGGTCGCACTGCAGTAACTAAGCAGCTAACCTGAAGCTGGTTTGTGCCTGTGAGAAGAGTGTAGCGGCAGGGAGAAGGCGTACGAGATCGTAACAAGGCTTAAAAGGGAATTGGATGAACTTTTGAAGCAATACAAGGGAAGAGCTGGTCACAATGGGAAAAGTGTTAGGGAAATGGGATTAAATAACTCCTATATATGCGTCGATCTGGCGTAGACCGTCTCGGAGCTGAGACCGTGGTAGAAATTCTCGCCAGGATTTTTGGGATGGTCATTGCACAATCCGTGGCCCAAAATTCCACCTGTTCTAAGCCTGTAGATCCCATAACATTATTGGAGGTGGGTGTCTCTCCCGGTTTCGTGGTCAACCAGGAGAAACACCCTGTGCAAAATGGCAGCTGTATTTGCCTTAAAATGATTTTGCATTAATCTGTTTTATTTGCTGTAATGTGGAGTCCTGTTACGTAGTGGTTAATGAGCTCGCCTCACAAATGAGAGGACCCGGGTTCAAAGCCCGGGCAAGGCAAAAGTTTCCTTACGCCTCTGTTTACCAAGGAATAAGTAGGAACCTGGTTATTAGTCAAATAGTAAATCGCTTTCTGGGGGTAACAATCCCTTCAAAAAAAAGATGTTTTAACAAAAATTGGCCGCTCACTCCTTGACCCGTGTGGGACACTGCTGTGCGCAATTGGCTTCCCACAAAATACGCAATCTCTACACTTTATAGTATATTCGGTGATGCGCTTTGAGACATGATAAGGCGCTGTATGTCTTAAGGACATGATAAGGCGCTGTATGAAATGCAAAGATTACGATTATTAAAAAGACAGCCAATACGATCGTCAATAAAACACTGCGTAAGTGATTCTTCTTCTTAAAGGAAGAGGTCAAGGCTGGCTGAGCTGTGGTGAGGGGGATGATTTACCAGATTTATCTCGCTGGATTTCAAGGCCCGAGACCCTCTCGTCTTTGAAGAGCTCGATCCCGTACACGCAGTCAAACTCGTCGTACTTGACCAGGAACAGCGAGGGGTTGACGGGCAGCTGGTCGAGCACAGTGCCCTTCCACTGGGTCACCACCCCAGTCTTCTCCCTCCATCCGTGCTTCACGATGCAGCCCACGCTACTCCGCTGCTTGTAGGCCACTGGTTCGCTCGCATCCCCTTTGGTGCGTTTCCTGGCAGGAGAGACATTCAACCGTTCAAGGCTCAGATGGGTCCCTCAATCCACGACTGTTTGGTGGGACGCTGCTGTGCGTGATTGGCTGCCGCGTTCCACCCGCAAAATACACAGTTGACTCACTTTACAATATACTCTGTGAAGCGCTTTGAGGCGCCTCGAAGACGCGATAAGGCGATATTATCAAATGCAAGGATTATTATTATTGTTATAGATTTTTATTAGGTCAGGGTATCAAGCGATATGGGGCAAATGCGGGCAATTGAAGCTGAGGTACAGATCAGCCGTGACCTAATAGAATGGCAGAACAGGCTCGAGGGGCTGAATGGCCTCCTCCTGTTCCTATGAGGCATAGAACCAAGAAGGAATTGGACTTTCCTCCTGCCACACAAAGTTATTAGCTGCTACAGATGTTGTTACTGGGTCAGTCTATTGCTACGGATAGCTACTAGGTTAATCTGTTGCTAGGGAGACAGTTACTAGGTTCCTGTTAAGAGAGAGCTCAGGCCCGCTTGCTTTATATTGTTATGATTGTTGTGACGTTTAACGCTGTCTTCTGCTGAGACTATTTATACCCGATTGTGGGCAGAAATCTAAAATATTCCACTCGGGGGCATTAACCCTGTGGCGCTATTTGGAAAGAAACGCAGGGAGTTTGTCTCTGTCTTCGTCTCCTGGCCCATATCCCTCCTTCATCCAATGCACCGGGAAATAAACAAGAATCCAGGTCCAAGAATAAATGTCCATTTATCTTACTATATGTGTGTGTGTGTGGGGGGTGGGGGGGGTGGGGGGGGTGGGGTTGGAGGAGGGGGGTCATTGCTGGTGTAAATTACCTGCTGTATTTACCCATACAAGTCGCCATGCTTTGAAGTGATTCACTCTGTAAAGCACTTGGTAACGTTTAGACATGACGAGAAGCTGTGCTTTTACTTATCTATTGGTTTGAGAACCAAACTGAATCTAAACTATAATTGAGCCCCCAACGGTCTGTGCATGGGGTAAAGCGGTGCTTTTGGCCGGAAAGAACGAAGGGTTAACAGGCACCTGGGCCAACATGCTGACCTTTCACAACGTCCCCACCCTACTCTTCTCCCTGCAGTAAAAGTTCTCAGCCCCCAATATGGTGATACAGGACAGGGCGAGATGTTCATGAATTGGTTGAACCTTCCACACAACAGCAGCAGCAACAAATTGCATTTGCATGTGACGTCCCAAGGCGCTGGACAGTCAAAGATTTACACCCAAGCTGTGGGTTGGGATCAGGAGTGGTGGAGGGCAGGGAGGGTGGGCGTAGGAGGATGGGGGTAGGAGGGTGACCGAAGGCACGGTCAAAGAGGAAGGTCTTCTAGGCAAGAGAGCAATATCATTGTATGCGTGCGTGAACTTTGTCCTTACCTGTGGGGCTTCTTTCTCTTCAACATGTTCACATAAATTTGATCCCCTGAGAGAGAGGGAAAAAAAACACAGCCCTCAATGTCAAACACAAACCTTACGCTTCTACGGCTGTAGATATAAACACAAACTGTGTTTGTGTCGTACATGCTGCATTACCATATGTGTTTCGCCCACAAAACAAATTCACTTTATGGTATATTCCTTGAGGCGCTTTGAGATGTCTAGAAAGTTTGCAATATCAAATGCAAGGATTATTATTATATTATGTGCTGCATCACTGGTCTTGGTTCTGCAATACTCCTACTTGTTGCACAGCAAATGTCTGCCCCAACCTTGCAGCCAAACCCTTCCTCCACACACTTTTGGGATATAATTCTCTTCCCTTGACCCAATCCACGCAGCCAAAAATGCAACAAGTCACATGAGACTTCATGTTTTCCACATCGTTGCTGACTCACCCTTTAGTGGACAGGGGAGGTGTACAGATCTGCAACGGATCTGGCTTCCACGTTACTCTGTCTACAGTTTACACTGATCCCAGTCACAGCCATGATATCACTTGCAGCACTGCTAGCCTTTCACTGGGAGTGGCGAGACAAATTGTTAAAAGCTTCTCGATTCTCCTGCCACCACTTGGGTGCCCTAAGCAGACAGACACTCCACAGCTCCCCACCCCCCCCCCCCCCACCCAGGATGTCCCGCGGAACTGGTCAGAGACAGTCTCAGTGGGTCAGGATTCCAGACACCAGCAGCAGGCTATGTACTCACTGGGACAGCATGCAGGGAAGACAGGTCGCTCAGGGAGGAGAGTGGCTTATCAAGCCGTTTTAAAGCTCCATTTCCACTGCTGGACGGACGATAGACAATCGACCTGCAGAGCAGTTTGAACCTCCGCAGTGGTTGGTTTGTTACCTCTGGTCAGGGGCAAAACTGCGGTACACAACTTGAGACAAAAGCAGCCTCTGGCTGTTGGGTCTAAATGGAGTGAGTGGCAGTTTACATGTCATTTCCTGCTTTGCATGGAAACTTTCTCTGCACAATAACCTCTTATTGTTTCTCTTGCAGGCTTGGGCTGGAAGCTGCAGCGATTAACCCTTTCTGTGGCCCACAGTTATATCCTCAAACACACACCCTCTGCCAGTATAGTAACAAACTCTGCCCTTTCTTGATTACTTCTTGATCTGGGTAACAGAGGACACAGATTTAAAATAATTGGCAAAAGAACCGGAGGGGGAATCGTGGAGAAATGTTTTTACCCAGAGACTTGTTACGAGCTGGAATGTACTACTCTAAAAGGGTGGTGGAAGCAGATTCGATAATAGCTTTCAAAAGGGAATTAGATAGGTACTTACAAAGGGAAAAACTGCGGACTGTGGGGTAAGAGCGGGGTAGTGGGATTAGCTGGCAGCTCTTTCAAAGAGCTGGCCCAGGCACGATGGGCCGAGTGGCTTCCTTCTGTGCTGTAAGATTCTATGACTTTAGGCAAATGAAAGAATTCCTTCAGACAGAAGATGGTAGGAATTCGAGATTCACTGCCCCACAGAGCGATAAGAGTCAATGATAAGTGAGAATATTTAATACAGGGTGGGTAGTTACTTAGCAACTACGGTATGAGGTAGAGAGTAAAGTGAGAACTGGGATTAAAAAAATCAGCCGTGGTTTAATAAACTGGAGGAATAGGCTCATTCGTCTTGTTCATAAATCCCTCCCCCCTGCCTCGGGGCTCCAAATGTGTGAAACCACCATACAATGTAAACTATTCCTTCCTTCCCTTCCCCCTTCGCTCTGCCTCTATGGGAAGTCAGTATACAGTGTGAAACTGAACTGGAAACCCTTGGTGAGTTGCACACTGATCCCTGGGTGATAGAGCTGCTCTCAGTCGGGGGCAGAGGTTGTGTGATGTCCCGCGGGCAGGTCTCCTCGGAGAATCTTTCTCTCCCCTCCTCCTCAAGATACTGACTGGTGCTGGGGTGGTAGTCCTTTTCTTAACCTAGAAGGCCAGACAGTGAGTGCTGGCAATCGATTCAAGTGTGAGGGCATCACACCTAAACCCTGAATCCCGTCAACCCCTCAGTCCACAAACACATGAACACTTTCCAATGGGCTGAAGGGTCACAAGGTCCAAGCCCCCTTGCTGCGAGCTTTACGGCAAACAGACTGTTTTGCCTATTACTAATTTTACAATTAATTTGCTTCTGGGTTTAAATGATGCGCCAGAGGGAGAGACCCAGAGTCTGTCACCTGCCACCATTACAAAACAAACAGTGGTTGGTTTGTGGTCCCCGGTAAAGGCAGTCCCTGAACGGCGTCCCCCATGAGCAGCAAAACAAAGACAAAGGATGGGCGTCTCGACACGCTTCACACACAGACCATGGTGATCCCCGAGCAGGGAAGAGATCGCGTTGACCAAAGTCCAAATCAAAGAGGTTTTAAGAGGAATTTTAGGAATAAGTCCCAAAACAGGGGGGGAACATGGTGTCTGATAGGGCCCATCGGTTGGGGAGATAAGATGGGTCTGAAACCCTGCACTCGACACCGATGCCCATCTCTCTCTCTGTGCCAGGCTTGCACGAGCTCGCTCAATCATCGCTCGCAAACACAAACAGAACACAAACATACACGCACGTGCACACACACACACCTTAGGCGGAATGGGACTGGATATCAACGTACAATGATCTTTATGGAGGATGTGGTTGGGCCGAGGCACCACAGACAATGCACTACACTACAGATAGGCCGCTGAGAGCGAGCTGTTGCTACACTGAATGAAAGGAAGCACCATCGGTTTGGTTCATACGAGAACACTTTGTATCAAGGCACAGGGTCAGGACAGAAGGCAAACGATTGTATAGCACTCAGCCTCTTGTTGCGCGTTGCCTTGACAATGCCCCTTATTGGTTTCGACGTCACGCCTCCCATCAGCGCCTTCACCTTTGTAGTTACTGCAGCATATGTGAAATGGAAATAATAATACAATCCTTGCGTATAGCGTTGAGACGCAAAGCAAATACCATCATTTGTGCCATAAAGATACCACAAACAGCCATTGGGGTGAATAGTAATCAATCTACGATGGGGGTGTGTGGACGGGGATGGGGGGGAAAACGGGACTGTTGTCCAGGAATCCAGGAGAGATAAAACTGGTGAAACTTCTTTCCTGTGATTTATGAATAAATCACGGTCTCTGTGTTACCCTATATTTTACCCTGTGCGCAACACACAGCAAATTATCCTTTGTGTAAACCCTCCACCACCTGCATTAACCTACACGTAACGCACTCCAGTCTGTGTGGCAGCTGTTGACCAGCGCCTCAATAAACACCAATAGATACAGAAAGAACATAACGTGATTTTTTTTTCATTTTCAATTGCTATATATATATATATTATAATATAAACAGTATGAGAAGGATACAGTGCGCGAAGGAGATACTATGTGAGGTGGATATTGTATCATGTGAGATGGATACAGCGTGAACAGGAGCCAAATGGACACCAGGGACGACGACGACGACGACAACAGCAACAAAATGACATTTACAGAGCGCCTTTCACGTCGGGAGGACGTCCCGAAGCGCTGAACAGTCAGATGTCGGGGCCCGGGCATGTGGGTGGGGCGGCGGCGTAGGGTTGAAGGAGGGAAGGCAGAGAGGTGGGAGGGCGACCAAAGGCAGGTACGGTCGAAGAGAGAAGGGTCTTGACAGGGGGTGGGGGGTAAATAACAACAACAACAATAACAATCGTCCTCGTCATCATCGTCACCGCCATAGCGCTTGGGACTCTACCCGAGCGCCTTTGGATCGCGTCGTCGGGAGACGTCTCGAAGCGCTCGTCAGGAGATAGAGGGTCAAAGTGAATGGGGAGGGAGTGGGGGGGGGGGGGGAGTGGGGGGGGGGAGGGGGAGTGGGGGGGGGGGAGGGGGAGACTGTGTATTTTGAGGGGTGGGGGGGGAGGGAGAGGGCAGAGGGAATGGAGTGGGTGTGAGAGAACGGATACACTGTACGATGTAACGAAAAATGGATACATTGTACAATGTAACGAAAACGGATACATTGTATAATGTAACGAAAGACGGATACATTGTTGTGAGTGGGAAACGGAACCCCAGTCCGTGACTCTCTCCCTCTCTGTGTGTGTGTGTTGCGTTGTGTGTTCGGGGCCCGGGGGCCGCGCGCGCGCCTCCGCACCGACACCTCCCCCCACCCCCACCCCCACCCCCCCCCCCCCGGAGCCCTCCCCTCCCCCCCCGAGCCTCCCCCCCACACACCCGTCGTGCATTGTTTACCCGCTGCAAAAAAAAATGCCGCAATCGCCGCCCCGGCGGTGGCGGTCGGTGACGGTCGGGGGTCGGCGGCGGCGGCGGCGACGACGGCGACGGCGCCCGGTTGCAGATCGGGCGTGTCCAGAGCGGGCGGGGGGGGGGGGAGGGGCGGTGGTTACACAGGCGCTCGGCCTTCCCCGCTCTGCACTGGGGCCCGGTTCGGTACCGCCGCGGGGGTGGGCCCCTCCCCCCCCCTCACCACCCCGCCGCGGGGCTGTCCGGGGTAGTGGGGTAGTGGGGGGGGTGAGGGGGTGGCGGGGCGGTGGGGGGGTTGTTGGGGGTGAGGGGGGGGTTGTGTTTTTTTTTACCTGCTTTCTCCGCCGCTTCACCTCGAGCCGCGCGTCCGGGCCAGGACCGCAGCGCGCAGGCGCGGCGGCGCGAGGCAGGCTGGGAGTTGTAGTGCCTCGGCCTCGGCCGCTTGTAGTCCCCGCCGGCGCTCGCGCTGCACCAGTGCATCGGGATTGCTGCATTGGTGGTTAATGCCTCTCCCTCCCCCCACACACACCACCACACACCCCCCCCCTCCCACACCCCACCCCCGGATTGCATTGCTTCATTGCCTGCATGTGACCCAGGACTGCAATGCTGCCCTTTGCGGTGGGCAGAGTTGCATTGTCTTCCCATATGATTCAATCCTGCATGTGACACCCCCCCCCCCCCACCCCCAAACACACACACACACACGCATACCTCTCCCCCCCCCCCTCCCCCACCACCACCCTCCAACGAGGCGTTTCGGAACGTAACCCAATCCCACGTGCAACGGTCTCACGCGCAAACACGACGGTTGTTTTCCCAACGCGAGTCACATCGTTCACAAACAGACCACCCTCCCCCCCCCCCCCCCCAAAAAAAAAACCGTTTGCCAAAACCAAGGCATGAACACTGTTTCCCCAGTGTGACCTTGTCCCACTGCCTCCTCCCTCCCTCTCTGGCTTTGACCAGCATTCCTCCCTCAATTATCAAAATCCCTTTCATACACAGACACACACACATATGCGCGCACACAAAATCAACCCATAACATTGATAAAATAAATAAATCGGTCGCTTGGACTGTCTTGGCATAGCCGCCATGGTTTCCCAGGAGACTTTTATTGTCCACCCACAAAGCAAATGTGCCTTCTATATTCCGGCGTGTTTGAAAGAGCAGCCGTGTTCTTCATCGCTAAAAGAGATGTGCAATTCTATCAGATGTTCGTACAAATACAGAGTCGCTCCTGCGCAATCCGTTTGCAGTCCACTCAGGTTAACGTTCAGAATGAAGAGTGCATTACCAGGATACATTCAACCTCATATATATGTCGAACCAGTGTACAAAGCAGACGTTTATTGATGTACCGTAGACAAGTCACTACGTTAGCATTAAACGTCTACAGTTTTATACTCTGGTCACTTCCTTTCTCCTCTCCTGGAGGCGTTGACTTCTGTTGTGTGTCATATGTGATTCTTTACGGTGAATGTCAGCTGGTTATTTGTCTCTGTCAGTGGGTGGGGGGAAATTACAGCAATGACTCTGAGCATCCAACATCCACACACACACACAGACAGACAGACTTTCCAGTTGGGGATACAGTACATAGTTTAGGACACAATATGTCAAGCGACTGCTAGGATGGTGGAAGGTAAACTAGATGGCCCTTGGTTTTCTTTCACCAGGCAAATTCTTAATGTTGTTATGGATTCGGTGACCCCCTGAGCTCGGGAGGGAAAAATCAGCGCCTGCCCCTGGTTGCTTACCAGCGATACTTTGCTAGAAAGTGCGTGCGTGCCAGTGTGTAAAGACAGGATAGGGCTGAGATATCCACAGAATATAGAAGAGGAGGAGGAGGATGGGAAAAAATCAGTTTAGAAATAATAATTTTATGACTGCAAACTCAAGGTGGTGCGTAAAACACATTGCGGAGTCCTGTCGCTCAGTGGTTAGAGCACTCGCTTTGCAAGCGAGAGACCTGAGTTCAATTCCAGGCAGAGGGCGAAACCTTGGGCAAGTTTCCTTACTCCACACAGAGCCTCATAATAATCCCTCCAAAAAACCCAAAACAATAATAAATTGTTCATTTCCCATCTCCGACTGTTTGTGGGACGCTGCACACAAATATACAGTCAATTCACTTTACAGTGTGTTCCGTGAAGCGCTTTGGGACGTCCTCCCGACGTGAAAAGCGCTATATCAAATGCAAGGATTATTATTATTATTATTATTATTATTATTAAAACAAAGGCACTGCATCAAAAATGCAAGGATTATTATGGAAACTGGCACTGATCGGATGTGGCTGAACGTGTCTAACAGGGCTCTGTCCAGCAGGTGGCAACGTTGGTACGTCATTCTGACACTGACCTGACGCATGAGTATCACCGCTGTCTTCGTGCAACCCGCGCATCTCTACTGCACGCATTCTGTCAGGCTACCCTGCGAGGAGGCCGGGCTATAAATGCAAGCTGCTGCTGTTGTTGCATGCACGGCACGACTCCTCCAAGTGCTGCAGCACCCCAGCCAAGATTTGCGCAAATAACGAAAACCCCCGGTGGCTTTTTTAAAGCATCGAGGCATTGACGCACCGAATAGTTTTAATGAAGTTGGGCCAACGGTTAGAACCTACTGAGGGTTGTCTCAGCCTCTCTGGTTTCCCTCTCCGGTGGACGGACTTTTTCGCTTAGTCATTTAGGTTATATAAAGGTTGTTCAGTGCACACAAGCACTGCATGGGAATTGCATTAATATAATACATAATCACTAGATAATTATTTGGGGAGGAGAAGTTTGCAGCGCTATGGAGGGAGCGGGGGAGTGGGATTGATTTGGATAGCTCTTTTAAAAGACCCGGCACGGTCATGACGGGACGAATGGCCTCCTTCTGTGCTGTATAATTCTATGATTATATGATCACATTAACATAATGCTGTAAAAGGTACTGACATAAAACACAGTCACTACACTGTCAGATGTGAGGACCCTGCCACTGTTAACCATTGGCAACTGCCCTCTCAACCCAACTTCCCAACTTGCTGAAATCAGGTTCACTAATTCCATTGATTAGTATAATGTAGAGGAATGGAGACTGCAATGTGCTTCAAGTTTAAAACTGATCTGGAGGCTGCAATGACAAAGCCTTTGCCTTGAGTTACTGCCTTGCAATACGTCCTCTCTTATGCTATGATTGTCCAGTTACTATTTGAGGGCACGGTTGCATTATATAGTGTATGTGTATATATTTATATATATAGTGTAGTGACTGTGCATTTGTAGGCAAACACCTACAAATGGACAATAATAATAATCCTTGCACTTAATATGGCAACTATAACGTTGAAATATCACCAGCACTTAACAGGCAATTGCTGTCAAGTGTAGTTACTGTATATTTGTAAGCAAACGTGGCAGCCACTTTATGCATAGAGTAAGTCAAGATTGCACAAACAGCCTTAAAGTGGCTGATTTATGTGGCAGATTGTTGGCCTGGGCACTGGGATCAACTCCCCTCTCTTTTCTAATAGCATCACGGGATCTTTATTGTCCGCTCATACACAAAACAATACCTGGGACTAAACCATAAAGCATCTCAGCCTGAAGAAACATTCTAAGCTTAATGCACTCACACAGAACCTATAGTTTGTCAGTTTGCCAGCAATTAATTGTTATTAAAACCTCCGACAAACGCAGCTTCCTTTCCATCTCAGAACGGCGGTTAGCAATCCCCCCCAAAATGTTTATTTTAAACAGAAACGTCTTTTACATTGAAAACAGTGGAGTCTATACATTGGTTGCCCCAGTCTTGCAGGGTAGCAACACATCCTGGGCACTGGCAACAGCACACATCATGAGAGGGAGGAATGAACCTTATCAAAGTCATCGTAACCTGCAGGACACACTGCAGCGCCCACTGGCCTCATGTTACGTAGATGTACTTGTTAGCCATGAGGTTTCAGTTAATTTGTTTCCCTCCCTCTCCGTCTCGTACGTTTTGCCACTGGGTTGGCACGGAGAACCAGGATTTGGCTCGTGTTCTGGAGATTGGGGGGAAAGTTGTAATGCGGTCAGGCTGGAAGTGGAACTGGACATCAAGTGAATGGCCAAAGCTGAGATGGCAGAGAGGGTTTTAAAGAGAAGCCCGGGGGGGAGATTTTGTGGCAGTGTAATGTGATCCATGCCAATCAATAACCACAACAAATCACATTTGCATGGCGCCTTTCAGGTCAGGAGGACGTCCCAAGGCGATGGACAGTCAGGGATCTGCACCCGGATGGATGGAGGGCGGGGAGTGGTAGGGGTAAGAAGGTGACCGAAGGTGCGGTCGAAGAAGAGGGTCTTAAAACGGGTCGTGAAGGAGGCAAGGGAGGGAGCGAGGCAGAGGGAATGTGGGATGGAGTTCCAGAGAGTGCGGGCAGAGAGGCTGAAGGCCTGCCTGCCAATGGTGGGGCGGGCAAGGCAGGGGGACAGTGAAGTAGGCGGAAATAGCAGACAAGTTGGTAGGGGTTAAGGAGGTCACAAGGTGCTGGACAGTCAGGGATTTGGACCCAAGCAGGGGTTTGGGATAAGGAGGGATGGAGGGCAGGGGTAGGAGGGTGATCTTATGAATTGCAGCAAATTGCAATTTGGTCTCCCTATGCTGTGGTTACTGTAAGTATTCAACTTGAATATGCCAGAGGTCTTTGAGGTTTCCTCCCGACGTGAAAGGTGCTATATACACTGTATGTATGTATACACTGTATGTGTATTGTAAATTGTATGTCCCTTGCACCCCCATTGCCACCAAAGTTACCATCTGCTTTAATAAACTTCTGAACCACCCATTATGCAGAATGACCTGTGCGCTCACGTGGCTGTTTGACACACAGAGATAAGGCTTGGGTCGGGCAGGTACCAGGACTGGGAGTTTTGTTGTGTCTGGCTCAGATTAATCAACAGATAAATATCGCAGGCGTCACAGATTAATGCTGCAGCAGCCAAGCTAAGTCTGTTTGAATGAACAGATGGAATCAGTTTCAGTCACGAGGTTGATCTGACTTAGCAGCTGCTCGTAGCAGAAAACAATCGTCAATGTCCAGATTCATTTTGTTTTTTAAGCGAGTTTTAGAAATTATTCTTTCTGGTTCTGTTCAATTTCCATTTTCTTCGGTTCCCCTTTTCGTCTTTTTGATTTGTTTTGTCCTCATTTGCAGTATATCCCAGAAGCACTTTGCGACGTCTTCTGATGTGAGAGTCGCTGCAACAAATTTAAGGAATTTCTATAAAAAAGTGCTCTCCTGCAGGCTCAGCACCCAACAGCGCAACATTAACGTCATACACTATTGCATCTGTATAACGCCATTCACCTTGGAAGAGCAAGTCAAAACGTTTCACAGGATTTGCTGCAAAGTGTGGTGACTGTGTATTTTGTAGGTGGACGTGCCAGCCAATTTGCACGCAGTAATGCCCCACAAACAGCCATGAGACAAATAGCCAATCTTAGCTGCAGGCTTGTTGTTAATCATAAATATCCTGAAATTTA